TAAAAAAAAAAAAAAAAAAAAATCAAAACTTCGATGAAAATGAAGATGAAGAAATTCCTCAGGCTTTGCACAATTTGATCGACTGAGAAGAAGAGAGACATTCTAATTCCTTGATGGATGAGATCATTTCTGTTAATGTGATTACTGAGAAGGATCCTCGCTTAGTCCAGATTGGTTCTACATGATCTTCAGAAAAACAAGAGCGATTAGTTATTTATTAAAACATTTCAAAAAATATTTTTGTGTGGTCTTACGAAAACATGTCTGGAATTGATCCTAAGATTGTATAACATAGAATCTCTCTCGACCTGAGGCCCAACCTCCTTAGCTTTCAAACTTTGATTCTGAGTGTCCAATAATCAACCAGAATTTAAGGCTTGCATAGCCAAATTGAAACAACTCTAGAACAAAGGGCAATAAGGTTGGATGTGATCAGGGATTCAAACCGGGCTGTTTCTCAAGCCAATAGAGGTCGAAAAGAAAGTCAAATCCCAGAATTTGAGAGAAGAAGATTTAGTGCTGAAGCATAATCAAACTCTTATCCACGACCCTAGTCATTCTCATGGATTTGGATGGTTTTGAATTCTCACAATCAACATGGACAAGCTAGAAAAAAGTATTATCCTTGAGAGGCTCGCTAGGTCGAAAACCCAAAAAAATCCCAAAGGGTGACTTAGGCAAAGGTTAGAGTAGAAAAAAAAAATGAAAAATGAAAAAAATATAAAAAATGAAAATATTGAAAAACACCCGAAGTTTACATTTTTGCAAAAGCACGAAAACAATTTTTGAAAATTTGAAATCAACTTTATGATGTTTCCAAAGAGTTGATTGAAAAAAAAAAAAATCCTGAAAACAATTTTCGAAAGCAAATTGCCAAACAAGTTTTTCGTGTTTTCTAAAAATGGAAAAACAGAAAAGAAAACACAACCAAATAGTTCTTTTTTTAAAATCCTAAAACAAATCAAATAGGAAATTCTACTCAAACAAAGTCAAATTCTTCAAAAGAAGAAGTCCCAAGACGTTATGAATAAAAACCTAAATAGTTGAGTGTAACAACTGTGATATGAACTTGAATATGAGCAGGACAGTTGGCATTAATCAGTTCCTACAAAGGAGGAAGCAATTACAGCCCTATCCCAATTTTTCTCTCAATCGTAGCTGCCAGGTATCTATAAATGTGGATGTGGAATCTAACGATGCATGACACTTGTCAAGAACCCAGGCTTTCTTGATCATATCCATTGTGTCAGCTAACATAACTTCCTACATCAAAGGGGTAGTTCTTAACAGCTAGGAAAGAGACACATGGCGAGGTTTAAAGGCCTTTCAAGAACATGGGTGGTTATCTCAAGTTCTAAGTGATTGTTCATGGTGAAAAAACACCAGAAAACATGTAAAGTGGGGTTGGCAAGAGAGCATGCGACACGTCGCAGAATTTGGTTGGAACCACAGGCACAGATTCAGGTCTGGAAATTGCCAACACATACTGGAGGCTTTTCAGGAACCTGTGTAGGATTTTCAGAAAGTAGTTGATGGATTATGGGTTTAAGTCAACAGAAAAATGAAGGTAATGGTTCTAGAAGATGCAGGAGACAGTTAAGAATAGAAGATTTGAAGACATGGCAAAGTATCCAACACTACAAACAAAAAATATATTTTACAACCAATTCAACTTGGGCTCAGCGCCTCTATCATTTTATAGCTTCAATAAATTTGCTTTCCTTAGTTTACCTATAGCTTTTTACAACTAATCAGATTTGTAAACTGATACTATTCATCGATGGTAATGTTTACTTGCTTGGTTTAGTTCATCGTCCTTTGTTTTTGTCGTGTCAAGGCCAGTTTTGCACTCACACTCGTAGGAAATTGTCTAGTCCTATTCACTGAGGCAAGAAAAAACCCGTGTGGCTTTTCCCTTCAGTTAAAATCTTTTGTTTGTATTTAAACAGTTAAATTTGGGCAGATCGCTCTCCACTGTATTTGGATCATACTTGATCTTGGCACTCCCGTAATTAAATTCAGGCCTTGATTGTTTTCTCGTTGCATTTGACATACAATCATAGTTAGAATCTTATGATTCAAAGTTCGATTCATATTCGATATGAGTTTCAAACAAAATGATTTAATTTGCACAGTTGAATCTTAAATTTTGAATCTTATGATTCATTACGATTCACAACAATTCAAGCGCTTTATTTTTGTTTGCATAATACCATCATTTTCACAAAATTAAAATTAAAATTAAAAAATGATCAACTAATTATATTGATGTACGTGATTTCATAGGTATATAGGTATATACAATTTAGTTGTGTCGATATTTATTTGAGTTTAAGCATTATATGTTTATATATACATGTATAAAATTACATATTATGTTAAATAAAATGAATCTTACCATTCACGATTCAATATGATTTACTATTCAATATTTTAACAAAATAATTCATGATTTGATTCGCTAGTTGACAACAATGGACACAATAGCCTCCTGATCGTATCAAGATCTAGATTCTACCTAGTTCTACCATATTATACTCATTAGCATTCATATAACTTAATTAGGGGTGCTTGCAATTCGGTTGCGGTCAGGAACCTCTAATTCACCATATGTCTACCGAATTAACAAATTAAAAAAAATCAATCCACATCCATCTACCAGATTAGCGGATGCATATTGACGGATGAATGCGAATCGATTTGGCGGTTTAAACTTTTATAAAATTTGAACATAATACAACTTGTCAACAATTTTTTTTTGAATAACAATCCAACTCAACATAACCAAAAGATTATTAAGTAAATTATCAAATACCAATAATAAATACATATAAGAAAACTATGCATTATCAAAACTATTTCATAACTTTTTTTTATTTAAAAACTATTTAATTTGATTTTTTTTTAAAAAATACAAAATTACGCCTTATATTTTTCACACAAAAATACCAAATATCAACAGTTACCATTCGATAAACGGATTTCTAAATTGAAAAAAAATTGAAAATACAACAAAATATCTAAACTTTTTTTTAACTGAAAACACAAACAGAATATCTAAATAAATTGAAAACTCAAAGTCTAACAAATTAGTAGGGGTGCTCGCAATTTGGCTGTTCGATTGTGGCCAAAGGAACCTTAAATCCGTCCAAAACGTCCGCTCATCATCACGCATCCGTCTAAAATGTAACGGATCGGTTCAGTTCGGTCGGTTTGGACACATCGGAATATCCGCTGACACCCCTAAACGAGTCGGACCTCAAAAAACAAACACTACATGAGTAAGGGAAAAAAGTGCTTGGTTCAAAAACACAAGTAAAAGCTTTAACTGACCTGAAAAGGAATGCATCAATAAGGTTGAAAAATAACTCGGAACACAGCAAAAGAACATAACAATAACGCCACATGTCCAAAAAATTGCAGCCATTTTTATTCACTGCCTTATTGAAGAGTTCCCACTTACAGGAAATCTTCTCACTGTGCCATAAGATGGAAAAGAAACAATTGTAACACTATTCAGCCCTAAGCTTATCAGTGCTTCTGAGAGGAACTATAGCGGTTCTCTTATTAGATGGATTATGTGATTTCTCTACAATTGTATCATCTTTATTATTACCTGTCCTGTCGTTTTCCTCTCGACGCTTAATATGGCCATCAGATTTAGGGTTGGCCTCTGAATGCTTGTCATCTGGAGATAAAATCTGCTCCAAAAACCTACGTATCATCTCGTAGCTGGTAAATGTTATAACAGCCGATGGAGTCGTTCTCAATAGATTAGTTGCACAGCCACGGTAGAAGCCTGGAAGACCTTCCTTCTGGAATACCTGTTTAATGCAATCAACAACACCAGCATACTTGACCTTGGAATTCCTCAGTTGTCCTTGCTCTTGCAATCTGGAACGCACAACCTGGTGAATATGGAAATTCAAATCTTATGACAAACAAAATAAAGGTGCTAATATACTGTGTATGTAAAATATAATTTTTTTGGCAGGCACTAAGTTGTCATAGTGACTAGTGACCTACAGAAGAAAGCCCAGGGACACATACCTCATGTGGGTAAGTCATTACTGAGGCAACTACTTTAGATACTGAAGAAGCAATTGCAAGTTTCCCAGGACTTAGCTTGTTAGGGGTTGTATTGTCTGATAACATCAAATAAGTATGATCAGCACAAATTACGTGTCACTATTACACATGATTCCTATACCTAAATCAATTTTGAAAGGAAAAATGAAAAGAAAGAATGACAAAAAGAACATATTCATTACCCCTTCTTGCTAAGTAGGACTTAATCTCTTCATATGCTGGAAATTGGATTGCAACATGACTTATTCCAGCTAATGAAGGCAAAAGACCACTGTTTAACCACAAAAAAATGGCATTATGACACCGAAAATAATGATTCAGAGATACTTCCAACAACTTAGATGGGCCGCTATCTATGATGACAAAACCATTCCAAATACATCAATAAGCAAATTTATTCCAGTGCTTTAGAGGTGCATCATCAAGCCTGACATCTATATATTTACATTTAAAAAACTTACTGAGAAACACTCACCTATACATCCCCCGGATTCCTTCCTCATGTGCAATCCTTTTTAAAGCAGAAAAAATGCCTGTGTATGGAACCACACCTGGTCTCATCCCCTGTGTCTAAACAAGGAAACAAATGAAAAATAAGAATGATTCGAATATGATATGATATGAACTCTTAGAGATGTCAAGAACAGCTCAGAAAGCACAAATGTTATTACAAGCCACATTCAATTCCAAAGGGACTGAATCAACTGAAAGTACTCAATTTATCAAAGTGCTAGTGAAAAAGGATTCATGTAGCTATTTATCAAAAAAAAAAAAAACAACAAAGATTCATGTAGCTGCCCCCACTTGATTGGAACACAAGAGTTGGTTTGGTTTGGTTTATCAAATGTGCAAACCATAATTTAAGCACAGATCACGTGGTCCATGATGTTATTTTCTCAAATATTTTAAAATCTTTAATATTTTATAATTTTTACCACAATGCTATTGCCCAACTTTGACCATATACTGTAAAGACATTTGATGGGAGGATGTTTACAATAACTAGTTTCATCAATAAATGGAACAGTGGGGCTACACAAGAATACAATGGTATTACAAGTAAGGGGAAATGAACTGACAGATCTGAGTTAAAATGATGAAAGTGATGATTTTAGACATTATAAGATAGAAGGATATGAGTTTGCTTGCAAACAACAGGGGATAGACTTCAAATTCCTGTAGTCTACAAAAAGTCAAAGACTGGTGAGAGGATTTAAAGTGGGACTACAACAATCTCCAACCCACAGTTACAAATCAAAAAATGCATGGGATCTCCATAATGCAAGTCAACCACATCCAACCGACACCAAAATGTGGGACTTCATCATTTATTATTTCTAGACTGGCCAGCACAAAGATACTTGCTTAAGAACGGATCAAGCTCATTTATGAAATCTCAAGAAATCTTAAGGAAATATTTTGCCACTGACATGGAGAAATATCTAGCAATCTTAAACAACGGCAAGTATCGACCTTGAAGATCCCTTTAGGTCCATCACTAGTACAAAGAGATTCAGGACATTTCTATGGATCTCCTACTGTTGAATGTATAGATGAGAAGAAGAAGAAGAAGAAGGAAAAGAAATAGAACGAGAGAAAGAGAGAAGCTGCTATATTGTTTATTTGATTCTAAAGAATAGGGTTTCCCCCTTACACCTATTTATAATAATAAGCATAAGACATAAAGACCAAACTACCCTAACACTTAACACTCTCCCTCAAGTTGATGCAAAGATGTCTCTCATGCCCAACCTGCAACAAATGAGGTAAAAGACCTTACTACTAAGACCCTTCGTAAAAACATCTGCCAGTTGATCTTCAGACTTAACAAAAGGCATACATGTCACACCCTTATTCAACTTCTCCTTAATGAAATGTCTATCAATCTGAATATGCTTCGGTCATGTTGAATAGGATTGTGCGCAATACTAATGGTAGCCTTGTTGTCACAATACAAAGTCATGGGATCTCGGCAATCAAACCCTATATCACTCAACAAAGAGTGCAGCCACATTAGTTCACATATTCCATGTGCCATAGCTCCGTATTCAGCTTCAACACTAGATCTAGATACTACCGCTTGCTTCTTACTCCGCCATGTGACTAGATTTCCCCCTGCAAAAGCACAGTAACCGGAGGTAGAGCGTCTGTCATCTATAGAGCCTACCCAATCTGCATCTGTAAATGCTTCCAATCTCAAGTGACCATGATTAGAGAACAAAATTCCTTTTCCAGGGACAGATTTAAGATACCTCAAAATACGATAGACTACATCCAAATGAGTTGCACGAGGATCATGCATAAACTGACTCACTATCCCAACTGCATAGGCAATATCTAGCCGAGTATGAAATAGATATATCAGTCTTTCCACAAGTCTTTGGTACCTTTCCACAACCCCACTACAAAGATAACGATTAGTCTCAATTGGAGAATCAGCTGGTCTGCAACCCAACATGCTCGTTTCCTCAAGAAGATCTAAAATGTACTTCCTCTAAGACATAAAGATGCCTTTATCATATCTGGCAACTTCAATTCCAAGAAAGTACCTCAATGGACTAAGGTCTTTGATCTCAACCTTCTTAGCTAACTGCATCTTGAGATGAGTTACCTCCTCATCATTACCTGTCACAACTATGTCATCCATATATACAATAAGCACTGTTACCTTATGTACATTGCGTTTGACAAACAAGGTATGATCTACATTGCTTTGCTTATACCCAAATCCCACCATTGCCTTTAGGAATCGACCAAACTATGCTCGAGGAGATTGTTTCAAACCATACAAAGCCTTCTTCAATCTACAAACCTTTCCAACTGTAGTCTGAGATGAGAATCCTGGAGGTACATCCATGTATACCTCCTCCAAATCTCCATGAAGAAAGGCATTTTTCACATCTAGTTGCTGTAAAGGCCATCCCAAATTAGCAGCACACGAAAGAACAACTCGAATGGAATTCATCTTCGCTACAGGAGCAAAAGTTTCTTGATAGTCTATCCCATATGTTTGAATAAATCTTTTGGCCACTAGTCTTACTTTGTACCGTTCAATCGTCTCATTTGCATTGTGCTTAATGGTGAACACCCACTTACATCCGACTGGTTTTTTCCATTAGGAAAAGACATTAACTCCCAAGTGTTGTTCTTACTCAAAGCTTACATCTCTTCTATCATAGCTACCTTTCACTTAGGATCATTTATAGCTTCTTTCCAACCCTGCGGAATACATACAAAAGAAAAAGACGAAACAAAGGCACAATATGTAAAAGACAGCGAACCATATGACACAAATTTAAAAATGAGGTGTTAAGTACAGGCTCTCACCCCCTTTCTAAGAGCAATAGGACGACTCAAATCATCAACAACAAGGCTATCAACTAGTGAAGAAATAGGCTAAGGATTATTACCTGTAGAGTCAGTGGAAACTGGGCATGGAACTAGCATAATTTATGATGATTGACCGGGTGGCACAAGAGAAGTCTGCTCTTTCTGACGCCGTGAATAAGTCTTAAGATCAGCTCTATCTAAACGACCACCGATATCAGTCTCCTTCTCAACAGAACTCTTAGGCTCCCCCTCACCACAAATAACAGCCCGCTGATTAGGAAGGAAAAAAGACAACTCATGCTGATATGATTCATCCGCAATCTCATCCGTAACACTCTCCCCCTGAGGAGATAGCGGAGGACATAGGAAAAAAGACTCAGATTCACGGAAGGTAACATTCATACTAACATATAGCTTACGAGTGTGAGGGTCATAGCATTTGTAGCCCTTCTGAGTAACAGAATAACCAAGAAAGGCACACCGGACAACCTTGGGATCAAGCTTTCCACGAGTACGAGGTTGGAGATGAACAAAACAGACATTGCCAAAAACCTGAGGGGGAAGGGAAGAAGTGGGATAAGGCACAGGAAGATGCTCAAGAGGAATTTGGAAATGGAGGACACTAGAGGGCATACGGTTAATAAGGTAAGCCGCGGTAAGAACAGCATACCCCCCAAAAAGACTTAGGAACATTCATGGTAAACAAGAGACAGCGAGCAACCTCAAGGAGGTGCCCGTTCTTGCGTTCAACAACTCCATTCTGTTCAAGAGTGCCAACACAACTAATCTAACAAAGAATGCCATGCTCCTCGAGGTATGTCCTAAAAGCTCCATCAACATATTCAGTCTCATTATCACTCTTAATAATTTTGATGTTAGCATTGAAGAGATTGGATACCATTTTATGAAAACTTTGGAAGCAAGAGAAAACCTCATTTTTAGTACGAAGTAAATAAATCCAAGTCACACGAGAATAACAATCAATAAACGTGACAAACCACCGATAACCAGAGGTAGACACTACAGGGGAAGGACCCCACACATCAGTATGAATAAGCATAAAAGGAAAAGTACTTCTTTTATTAATAGAAGGATAATAAGTACGTTTATGCTTAGCAAGCTAACGAGCATCACAAACAAAATTATTTCTAGGACAATCTGGAACTAAGGAAAGAAAAAGTTTTTCTAAAATACTAAAAAAAGGATGGCCCAAACGACGATGCCACTGATGAAGCAGACGTAAAGAGGAGTCGGAAGTAGATTGAAGAGCCTGAGAAGACAAAGTTGATGGAGGAGAAACAGCATCCAGAAAGTACAGACCACCTTGTGCTCTACCACTGCCAATCATTGTCCCCGTAACCAGTTCCTAAAAGACACAATCAGTCGGAAAAAAGGTTACAGAGCAATTGAGAGCAGTTGTAATGCTACTAATAGAAAGTAAGTTAGTTGAAAAATTAGGAACATAAAGAACAGATGAAAGAGAAAGCAAAGAGGTGCAGTGAACTGAACCTTTATCGGAGATAGAGGATAAAGTGCCATCAGCCACTCTAACCTTATCTCGCCCAGAACCAGAGGAATAAGAATGGAAAAAACTAAAAGTACCCCGTCATGTGATCTGTAGCATCGGAATCAATAATCCAAGGAGACGACGAAGAAGTACTAAGTGCACTAGCAACAATACCTATGTGGGAAAAATTGGAAGAGGCAGAAGAGGAAGGAGCTAAGGTAGATGAAGAATCAAGGCGAGCCATCAAATGTCTGAGAGTGTGAAGCTCATCCTAGGAAAGAGAACCAATGTCACCCAAGGCACTAGCAGTAGTCTCCGATACATGTGCTTGAGGACGAACACCACGACCACAACCATGACCTCGAGTAGGCCAACCATGTAACTTCCAACAGTGTTCTTTATCATGCCTACCTTTCCCACAATAATCACACTTCGACCGGTCCCAATCAACCAAGGGACCTGTACCACCACTCTGAGACTGACTAGGCTGAGTAACACGTGACTTTGGGGCTGCAACCATCGCTGACCGATCTTGAGTAGAGGCATGTACCATAGCACTACGACGACTTTCCTCACATAAGGTGGGAAACGGAGAGCGACCTAACACTTGAACCCGTATCTGATCATACGCGAAATTCAAGCTTGCAAGAAAGTCATACACTCGCATAAGCCTCGCACAGTGCAGGAAACGAAGAGCGACCCAACACCTAAACCCGTATCTGATCATACTCCAAAGTCAGGCTAGCAAGAAAGTCATACACCCGCTCCTTTTTCACAACCTGCTGAAACATAGCGGCATCCGTGGAGCAAACTGGCTGAAAACTCTAGTAGTAATCTAGCTCTTGCCATAAATCACTCAACTCCGCATAGTACACTGCAAAAGAGCGATCCTTCTGATCCAAGCCCCTAATCTTCTTTCTCAATTCATAGGCCTATGCATCAATACCTTGTTGAGAATACATCTGAGAGGCGGCTATCCAGATTTTGTGAGTAGTGTCCATCAAGAGAAAAGTCCGACAAATAGGAAGCTCCATAGAATTGATTAGCTAGGTCATAACTAAAGCATTCTCAGAAATCCACTGAGCAGATAAAGCACTATCCGCAGTAGGTTGCTGGGTACTACCAATAATATAGCCAGTCAAACGCCGGGCGGCAATAGCAAGACTACAGGAGCGGGACCAAATCAACTAATTAAGACCATTAAGCTTGACCGGACTAATCTAGAGAGAAGGACTATCACCAAGAGTCAAACCACGACTCAGTCCACTCTCCTCCTTGCCCTTAGAGTCCTGATCCAAGCTTTCAGCCATGAGATGAGAAAAAGAGGGTCCAAAAACACAAGCCGGATATCAAACAAGTCCAGAAACCACCCAACCAGCACAAAAAATCACCTTCTAAGGCTAAAACAGTCCAAGATAAGCCCAGAACAGAGCAACCAAATCAACTACAAGCTAGAAAACTGAAACAGAGCATCTGAACAGCAATAAAAAGCCAAGGTAGGGCCAAAATACATCAAACAAGGGACACCAAACCCCTCTAGGGTTCCAGTCGGCTCCCCAGGATAGGAGGAGGAGGAGGGACAAAACCAGCAAACAAAGGTTCAAACCGTGACTTTCGAGGAGGAGGAGGAGGGACAAAACCAGCAAACAAAGGTTCAAACCGTGACTTTCGAAAAATCACCCAGTTTTGACGAAAAATCAAAAAAATCGGAAAACTCAAACAATAATGACCAAACAATCAAAAGGAGATTATAGGGTAATTACCCATTAAATTTCGAGCATAATTTTTTTTTTTTTTTTTGGTTGTAAAACGGACGTACCAAGATACAAGAATAGGAAGGAGACTGAGAGAAACAATCTTCAAGGAGGAAGATATTGCTCTGATACCATGTTGAATGTATAGATGAGAAGAAGAAGAAGAAGGAAAAGAAACAGAACGAGAGAGAGAGAAGCTGCTGTATTGTTTATTTGATTCTAAAGAATAGGTTTCCCCCTTACACCTATTTATAATAATAAGCATAAGACATAAAGACCAAACTACCCTAACACTTAACACCTACTTGACACAATTCCCAAGTGGACTTTCTTAATAAAAGCAGAAATCTGATGACTTCAGAAACTTGTACGTGTATTCTCGTGCCTACATATGAGAGTTTTAGCTTGCATATTATTTATGAGCTGGGTAAGGATTTCTCGTGAACACACTGATATAATACTTCTAGGCTTCTAAATAAAGCTAACTTCAACTGATACAAAAGATTGGTATCATAGACTATGATTTTTTTATGAAATTTTAACCAATGGCAAACAAAGTATCAGCTTAGTTCCTAAATATGAGGATCATCAAAGTTAAGTGTGAGCTCAATACTCTTTATTTCAAGATATCGTAGGTTCAAAATCACCTTTGAAGTGTCTCTACACAAACATGCAAGCTTACCTTTTCACAAACATACACCAAAAAAGTTGCCCCAGTACAATGCTTCTGTCAAATTCCAAACCATGCATCAAGTGACAGTTAATTCTCAAGGCATGTGATACACGGATCACTGTCAAGTGCACCCAGTGAATTAGGTTTCTTTGGAATAAGGCATCATTGGGATTTAAAAGACTGCATTTCTCATGCATCAATTGCTTTTTGTTAATCACATATTTCAAGGTATGCCCTTAAAAATCCCACCTTTGATGAGAAGGAAAACTTACAAGTGTAGCGAAAAAAAATCAAACAGTGATGACATAAATCTAGTACTACCGAATCTTGAAAGATGCCAAAAGCAACCTTCAGACCCTTCTCCATGTCCAGAAGTGATGCCACAATAACCATGAGATATTATAAACCACTTGACATTAATTAAATACTTGCATAAATACATAGAGCTTAGAGGACACAAGTCATTCAGTTCCTTCAGTTCTGAAATTGTGCAACATGCCATAGATAAGGTGAATTAGATTATTGCTATGCAGTTAAAACAAAGGAATACTTAGATGGTCAAATTTAAAAGTCAATTTGCACTACTAATGTTTTAGTTCATATCCACTTTATTTAAAGTGTGCCAGGAGGCTTACTTGCAGAGCTCAAAACCTATTTCAGCATGGTGTGTGCGTCCTAGCACTTGAAAGGAGTTTTTCTTTCAAACTCCATCTCATTTTCCAGCTGTGGTTCTAGTTTAGATACTTCTGCAACATAGAGAAGCATACTGTTTGACCAACAGGAGAACATTCTCCAATAAAATTAATTACAACTACAGAATTCTGCAATAGTAATACATACACATAAGTTATAGGTACAAGTATTTGTTTTCAAGTCAAGCACGCAGAAACTAAAAGCACTCACTAACCTACTTCAATAAGTTTGAAAGAAACTGCAGATAACAAGATCCAACCTACTTGGAGTCTGGTCTTAACAACCCACAGTGGATTTGCTGCAATTGCTGTGACCGCACCAGCGCCTGAAGCAGCAATCATATGCGCACCAAATGTAAGTTGACCACTGTCATTCGCTGTATTATCACAGTATGAAATGTTAAAAGAAATCAAAACAACCAACTGAACAAAAATCAGCAATCATATTAACACCAAATATAAGTTGACTACAGTAATTCACTGCATTATCACAGTGTGAAATATTGAAAGAAATCAAACCAACCAACTAAACTTCACAGTTCACAGGTACAACAAAGTGTCTCATAACAACTCAAAATAATCAATTGATAAATGGGAACATTATAAAAAGCTTTACCAACCACGTGCATGGAGTAGGTCTTTCAGATACCCATAGACTGTGAAGTACACCTACATTAAAAATATATATATAGTTTTGTCACTTACAGAAATATAAAGAAAATATAACAGGGAAAACAATATTGAAAATGTATTCCAAATGTCAATTCAAGAAATATTCAGTGAAAAGAAATTTGATTTCCCAGAAACACGTAAGAAGGATAAAAGCATGCAGCAAAAATCTTATAAAACAATGAAAAAAATATTGTTGGGAGAGATTGGCTTGAGCCAGCTTTTAAATCGAGGGGGGAAAGTGAGAGGATTCTACCACATTTTGCACACACAATTACCAAAGAGGTAGCTTCTAATATGGTTGTTTTCCCATAATGACTTGATGAAACTAGAAATACAGATATTGTTTTGCCCCTGAAAGAATTCCCAGGGAGAACAAATTACTAGACAAATAAAGAAGAAGCAATGGATAAGATTGGAACACTCGTAAGACCCACATGCAGTGACAAAGTAACAACAAAAATTGCCTTAGAACACTGGTAAATGAGCCCGCTCTATGGGCAAAAAATTTTGGTTCCATCATAAATTTTCCAAAATGGGTTGGCTGCCCTGCAGGCTTTGTCCTAGTTCTCTGGAACAATGATTAAATTCTAAAATTTATCTATTTTGCAAAGACAACTAAAATGGGAACCAAAGCAAGTTTTTTTTCACTACAGAAGCATTCAACTTATAAAAGAATTAACAAAAGAGAGAAAGAGGGGATTTCTGGAGATTCGGACACAAGAAAACCACAGGCTGATTCCTTTGTTGGAACTAAAAACTCCTCAGCAGTGTAACCATAGTGACTGCACATAAGCAAGCAATAAGCACTATCTAGAAAAGAAATCCAACAAAATGGGAGGGGAGAATACATTAAAAATCAGAAAAGATATGAAGGTGCACTCAAGTATATAAAATTTTTAATATATATATATATATTTGAAGCTGCAATGGCTTCTATAATAAAGGAGTACTGGTCATTAATCTTCAAGAACAACCCAAGAAAAGTAATACTCACTGCCCAGTTTGGAAGTAGTGCCACCAATGTTGGTGAAAGGCCACGGTACAGTCCCTTCAAACCCTCAGTTCGTATTATATTCTGTAGGCTTGTAATAATGATACTACCTGATTGTCACCAAATATGAAGTGCATTAAGTACGTCAACATATATAAGAAGAGCCTGTGTAAATTTTTTTTAAAAAGTTGAAAATTTGGAGAGAGGAAGCTAAAAAAAACTCAGTCCAAAGGTTAAGCATCATTTTTCTATTGTATAGCTCATCTATATATTCCTCGGGTCTTTTGTTTTAGTAAATTCATAGTTATTTTTATCAGGGAAAATTAGTTTCCATCTCTAAAACCAAATAATAGAAAAGGAATTGAAAAATCAATAAATATTAGACCAAAATGGTTGATTGTGCAAAATTCTAACATATTAACATAATTTTTTTCCCCAGAAAATCCCTATGTGCACTGGTGGAGATTTTGTGCTAGCCGAAGAGGCTAAAGCTTGTTAATAGTGATGTCTTAACCAAAAAAAGAGGGTAATGAGGAAGTGTGTTGCATAGTTTGATAATGATATTACAAGGAGATAGAGTCAAAAATTGTTAGTTGTTAGTTGTTACATGAAGCCAAGTGGACTACTGTACTCACCCAAGTGGTAGAGAAGTTAATGAAAAAGGTCTTATACTCCTATTACGGAGCTCTTACATGGTTAGAGTAATTGAGGTTCATTGACTTCATTATATTCCATAAAGGTTAGATTATGCAAGACAACTTTAATAATGAAAAATGCCAAAAATCTTCTTAAAATATTGAAAATGCGAAGATGTGTGCATGTTTGGCTCTATCTAATACTCGATTAGTTGATTTCTTTCTGACGTGTCGGTTCATTGCTTTCCACTTGCAACTATTGGCAAGGCAATTTTTCTGCTATAGTTTTGCTCGGGAAATTAATCTCCTTCGGACAAAGGTAACCCACTTAACGTCTTTTGGTCATAGGCTTATAGAAAGCTTGAATTTTGACGGGTTTTTTTTTCCTTATTTTCAAACATGATTTCCTTTTATCTACTTGCTAACCTTTGAACAAACTTAGAATGGTGAACTTATAATTATGGAATATATTCATTTAATGTGAATTTTAATATTGATGAATTGCATGCTTTGAAAAAGTAATAGAAATTTCAAACTGTTTTCAATTAGTTATGTTGTCATATAGTGGAAGAATGTAAAAATAAATAAATAAATGATTGGAATTTCATTTGGACTTCAAAGGATTTTACCTTCCATACCTTTGAATTTTATAACCAAAATGGGTAAATGTACTCTTAGCATACAATAGGTGATGGACTATGTCTATTTTTGTAATCTAACAAATAGAGAAGAATTATGTTAGGATCATTAGAGCTTCACATATATATTTTATAAAAATGCTTTGCCCAAAGATGTTTTGTTTGATTAAAGAAATTTAGTGAAATCATTTGCCTCATTTGTGAGTAAAGAATTGATCCTTGTATTGAATATATTAATACAAAATGGTTACCTCCATTAATTTTGTGGAAGAAAGTGTAATCCTAAACTATAGGATTCAGTTTTTGGGTCCCTCATCATCCATCCCTTTCGTAACACTAACTGAATGAGTTACCAAATAAAAGTCATTTTATTACAAGCTTTTTATCATGTTAATAAATTGAAGTATGATTTGAAGACAACTCCAAACTAAGGAGTAAGGTTCCCTTTTCAGCATTCTCAGAAGTGCATAAAGAGCCTACAGCTTATAGCACATAAAGAGATCACAGCAGGAACTAATAGTTTAATGTCACATAATGCTCTATGTTCTACTGTCCCTCTACCTAGGAGCTTTGAAGTCTAGTTCAATTGCTTTGGAATGGACTGCAATTTAATCTAATATGTAATTTCAATTGTTGTATAGACTCACGTATAGCAAACTTCACTATGAGAAATTGATACTTCCAAAATCCAAAGAATGCACCTCTAACTAACCACAGTTACAAATGATTTTAGCATTTATTTACCAACAACCCAATTTCATCAACCTTCTTACCAGTCAAAGTTCAAAAGAAAAAAACAAAACAAAACAGAACCCTTGTTGCGTTTTGGCACAAATAGTTTCTGCGAAAACAATCAACTTCCATACTAATGCTTTATTTGGTTCGCTGGAATGAGATAGAATGGAATGGAATTGTCGTTCCTTAGGCTCCCCTATGGAATGATCATTCCCTTATAATGGTAAATGGCGATTCCATGTGCAATGTATTTTTCATTAATTTTTTAGTCAACCAAACACGAGAATGGATATTTTGATGGAATGACCATTCCATTACCTGAGTTTTCGATACATTCCAGTTTCAGAAAGATACTTCAGCCAAAAGCATTATTATTGTCCAAAAATGCTACTGTATAAACAAACAAACAAACCATACTGTTCCTAGCTATAGAGTAAACAAAATTCATACAAGAACACATACCTTTTGGACCAGAATGGTGAGCTTCAGGAAGGCCATGGACTTGCAATCTGGTTTTAATCACATCCAATGGGCACACAAAAGTTGCAGCTATAGCCCCTGCAGAGCACAAAAATCGCATATGATAAACCAAAAACTGACTCAATCGACAGCTTCTGATCGAAGCATTCACACAATTGACAATTAACCATCAAAAGCACCAAAAAGCTTAACAAATTCATTAGCTTTATCAAAAATTAACAAAAATATCACCAAATGAACAAACCCTAACTGAAATCACAAAAAACTCAAAAACACTTTCTAAATCAAAATTGAGGAATTTTGGTAAAAAGAGCAAAACCTGCGGCGGCACCGGCGGCGGCGTCGCAGATGATTTTCTTCGAGCTCCGACGATCTGACAACCGCGCGCCGCCAGCGGTCATCTTGAAGAACTACTTGACTTCAATTATTCCACAATGGCATGTATATATAACTTCTCAGTGCAACATTATTCGAAGCCGCCTATATATATATATATATAGAGAGAGAGAGAGAGAGAGAGAGAGAGAGAGAGAGAGAGAGGTTTTGATGGGTTTGTTTGTTATTTTCGATCCAGAAGTGGGAAGTAGTGGTGGTGTTGTCCAAAAGTGTCTTCAATTTGCCAATAGTTGTAAGCAACTAACAATTTGCCAATAGTTGTAAGCAACTAATTTTATGATGCCGTTTATTTGGTAGCTGTTGTTTTTTATTTTAAAAAATTAGTTGACTTGTTTATGATATAATAAAAATAAAAATATACATATTTGGTACATAGATCGTTTACATGTTGGAAATTTTTTTTAATGTGTAATGCACATATTGTGGGATCTTATCACTAAATTTTTATAAATTTACATAAGTAATAACAAAAAAATATATAAGTTCAGTATAAATTTGTGTAAGTCTTAAATTTTGATGAACTTATGCGAATTTATATTTAACCTATATATTTTTATTTGATCATTTATAAAAGTTTATACAAACTTACGTAATTTTATAGTAGGATTGCATATGGTGTGTATTGCACATCAGAGCATTTTCCTTAAATGTTTGTTTTTGAAAACAAATAAAAGAGTTGATTGGCGAAAGACACTGTCGACGGTCGAAAATGGTGATTAGAAGTGATTGTCAATTGTCAATTGTTAATGAGAGGTGATTTACAGTGACCAGAGACGATTATTGATGGTCACAAATGATGACCAACCACTAAATGTGGTGATTATAGGTTGTGGTGGTGATTAGTAGAGGGTGGCAACCAAATGACATAAGAGAATGATGAATGAATGAAAAAATAATAATAATAAATGTAATTAATTTTTTTGTGATAATAAGAATATAAATCCATCCCAAATAAATTTTTGTTTATAATTTTTTAAATATTTATATTTATAAATAGAAATAGTAACAGAAATATTTCAAAATAAAAATGTTTTTAAATTTTTTAATAAATATATAAACAGAATACTATAAACTTAAATATAACTAAACTTCTATTTATAGCAAATTGTTATCTATTTTTTTGTTTGGTAATTCAGGGTATTTGAGTGTGCTTACACATACCTAACCAAAGTCATTAGAACCCGTCTCACAGACCTTTCACCTTGCCTACTCCGCTATCACCCCTCTCATTTCCTCCACCTATTTGCATATCACCAACTCTCATTTCTAGTTGTAGTTGCTTTTTCATACTTTTCGGAGGGGTTTAGTCTCCTCGAATGCGATTGCCTTACAGTTCGAATTCTCGTAATTTTGAATTTGGTTTCACAAGTGCAATGTAAAATAAAAAAATGAATGAGAGTCCAAATCTAACAAATCTTAGAACATCCATTAATCATCAGAGATGCCAAAAATGGACTACATTGCCAGATTTCAGAGTCACCACCTAAATATTTTTAAAAAAATTAGGAAACTCGTGACTCGTATCATAGGCCACTTGTTCGTCATAACCAAAGTGTCTTGATTCGGGAATTTAGGCATGAAAAGGGAAGGTCATGAATTGAGCACTCCACTCACATGATCAAAGATCGGCCTCTACTAAATCATGATGTGAATTTTATGGACATTATATGCTCATACTCTGATTATTTAATATACTATCATTACTATGTGAAGTAAACAAGTATAAACCACGTTACTTACTTTGGATTGCTTTGATTTTATGCTTTTTTTTAAAAGAGTTTTGAATATGTGCAACTCAAAGGAAAAACGAGCTCATATGTACAATAATCAAAGTCATTCCAATCTAAGCAAAATAGCCTCCATCCGCAGGCATTCATAGAGATATTTCAAGTAAGCGAGTAGTATCATGGAAGTACGCTCGATATGACAACACAAACACGTATATGATATGCTAAAGGAAAAATGTTCACCTAGTACTCAAACGAGGCAAGCCGAAGAAAAGAAAATAGTTAGAAAAAAGCATGATCCTAAAGAAATGCACATGATTAATGCAACGCATACAAAATACGATTACTTGATTCGTCTATGAATATTGTTTCCCACCCTTTCTTTTTTATGGCTCTCACATCACTTTGGCCTTCAATCTCTATTTTCTCTAAAAAACCATTTCCTCACTTTTTCTCTCAGCGCACATATCTCTATTCTTTAATCTCTCTTATTTTTTTATTCCTTCCCAGGTGTGGTTGATGGATAAGCTGAAAGTTGTGGACCCTTGCCCCTTGTACTCGACTAGATCCTACTTCTTTCTCTCATAACTAGTGAACTTTCCCACAGAGGGGTTGTGGTGCGACTGGATGTACAATAGATCTGCAACTGACATCGTTTGGCGATGCCCTTGGCTTAACTTGACCGAGGTGAGTCACAGCATGTCCCACCGGTTAGGTATACAATTGATTGGTCTCACATACTATGTTTTTTACTTCTCATTCCGGTTCAGACGCTAGTTTGGGTGTGATCAGACCCGTCCAAATGAGGGAGTCGAATATCCAGCTCCATTTTTAGTTCGGGCTTCACATTTGGCTCGATACCTCACTGCTTGGAGAATGAGAGAGCTTTTGACCCCTGCTGCTAGCTTTAGTTGTGGCCTTTTTGGCGAGTGCATTGACAATGGGGAAAAGACAGAAAACCTGACTTGACTATGCCCCTAGTTCATTTCTTTGACTATATTTTTTGTTTTTGGCTTTCTGCTAAAACAATTTTGACCAACATGAGAGTTTAGATTAACATGCTTGTTTTACTTTCTGTTTTAAAATCATGTAAGTCAAACTATAAGCACTAAAAAATTTTCCTTTTTTGGGTCCAAGCAATTTTTCGATTTTGAAAAAAATAGAATAATTTTTGAGAAAATTAGTCAACTTCACTAAAAGTCCTCAAAAACTATTTTTGCAAATGGTCATTACCCGACCAATCGTGGAATTAACTCTTGAGATGCACAACCTCCAATCCAAACTGAATTTGACTTGCAACTAAATCTTTTAACGGAATAGGACAACCGAATTTGAATGAAGATGAGCCAATTGGACATGGATATGATAGCCAAGTTTGAATAAAGATAAGTCAATCAACATGGATGAGACAAGCAGGTTAAAAATGGTTAGGGCTGAACTTTAGGATAAAGTTGCCTACGTATCCCACATTTAGGAATCAGGCCTTACGTAGTTCCGAGGTTAAGGTTCACTCGAGTATAAACTCTCTCCTTTTGCGCTCTAACTTTTGCCAAAGCCGCCCTTCTGGGTTTTCAACCTTGCGAGCTCTATTTTTCTTTTTCTATTTTCTTTTTCTCTGTTTATTTTCATTTTTCTTCTTGCTCTAGCTTTTTCCTGGGTCACCCTTCTGGGTTCTCGACCCAGCAAGGCTCTCAAAGATTGAAAAGTTTGACTTGTCCATATTGATTGGTTGTGAGATCCCTAAGCCATCTAAATCCACAAGAATGGCTGTTGTTCCTGACCAAATAGTCTTAATGATGTAAGAGCCCATCCAATTGGGTCTGAATTTGCCCCTAGTGTCGTGGATAGGAACTTGATTGTCTTTCAGCAATAAATTTTCTTCTCTCAAATTCTGGTATTTGGCTTTCTTGTCGGTCTCTATTGGCTTAAGAAATGACCCATCTTTGAATCTTCGATCACATCTGTCTTTTTTTTACCCTAGTTCAAGGGCTGCTTCTCATCTAGTTATGCAAGCTTCATTCGATTATATCTGACCTTATTGCCCATAATTTAAGAGCTGCTTCCAATTCGGCCATGCAAGCGTCATATTTTGGTTGATCGTTGAACATTCTCAATCAAGGTTTGAAAACTAAGGGATCAATTCTCGAGAGTGATCTTGTGCTTTACAATCTCAAAATCAATTCTAGGCATGTCTTCGTAGGACCACGCAAAAAATATTTTTGAAATCTTTTAATAAAGCAACTAGTTGCTTGTTGCTCCTCTGAAGACAATATTAAACCAATCAGGACTAAGCCAGGATCCTTCTCAGTACCCACATTAACAGACATCGACCAAAGTTTGTAAATTTTGATGAATTCCTCCCTCTTTGTTTTCACCACAGTTGTGGAAACAATTTTGAAAAACTTTGGTCAATGCGATGATTTAAAGGCATAGAAAAATAGGTGAAAATAACTGCAGTTTCATTCAGAACTTCTGGTTCACTGATTGAAATAGAATCAAAAGAAAGAGTGAAAAGACAAACACAAACAAGACAGTCCTATCCGAGTTAAAGCCCCTGAAATCACCAAACTCTGACGCAACAAGACTGACTCAAAACCCAAGTCAAAAAGTAAAATAAACCACATTTTCAAATTGCTAAAATCAATGCATGCCATCCACCACGTCTGGAGTAAAATGCGTGCCATCAGCAAGTGGTTCATCCCCGATCACAGAACTAGTCGCATTATCCCCCAACTTCATTGATTCAGCATTGACAGACTTTGTAGGACTTTGTGGGGAGATGATCTTGTTGTCAATCAGGTCTGGTACTTCATGGCGAAGATGAAAACAACGGTCAGTGTCATGGCCGAGTTGCTGATGGAAGGCACAATACTTGGTAGCATCATGCCTAGCTAGAAGGCGATCAGGGAGAGGCCAAGCGTCAAGGGGTTTGAGATGTCCTTGTCCTATGAGGATTTGGAGAGCTTTGGACAAGGTCATGTAAAGGGATTGAAGGTGCGGTTACCCATCCTGGAAGTATTGACAGAGGGGTCAGCAAGTGTTGACTGGGTTTGGAGATCTGTTACGGGTGTAAGATTAGAGCTGAAAGGGGTGTTCCTGGTACAACATCCCTTTTCATGACTACACCCTGATTCAAAATGCCTCAAACCTAAGCAATAAAAGTGTCATCCACAATCTTTGCAACAACTGTAAGCACTTGCTACTTGTTCAGCCCTTTGACCTTCAAAGTCTTAATAGCCTACCGAAGATGTGCATAAGGATCAATACTTGCCCTAACCTTGTTCTTGCTACTTGCTTCAGCTTTGCTAAGGGATTGGGTGGCTATATCGGAGCGAGGCCTATTTGTTGTTAACATGTCATCACCCAAACTTAAGATAGCTTCGGGTTGACCATTTTCTAATACAGCTCGTCCCAAGATTGGGGAGATTTTTGACGTGAAATTTCTGGCATGTGATGTGGTTGATGGCGGAGCCAAGATCCCAAAGGCTG